CGTGTCCATCCAGTCAGAGACAGTCTCCTCTCTAACCGTGTTCAYAATAAAATCTGATGTTTGTGTCAAAATAAAACTCAGTTTTCATGAATGGCGCCTCTGCTTGAATCTAGATTTTCCCGCGCTGCTCGCTCCATGGGAAACGAGGGAAAGACGTTTTTCCCGGGAGATTTCCAGACATTTTGGGAGGAAGACGTCACCGCTCAACTCTTCCTTCTTTCCTCGACTTGTTGCTCAGCGCAGCGGCACGCGCACAGCAGACATTTGTGCGCGTGCCGCTCCGCGCGTCAGTCACGGATGGTTGGATGAAGGATGGACGAAGGTTGGATGAAGGAGCTACAGGTTGAGGATCTTTTCCTCCGTCATGTTTTGTCTCAGATGTTGAGTCTGGTGCGCGTGCGCGCAGCCCTCACCTTGTTTTGGGGTCAGACACCTGAGCGCGCGCCTCAGCCCGGTGCAGACGGCAGCAGAACCGGATGTTTGTTCTGAAACCAGCTGATTTCTGTGCACAAGTAACTGATCAGGTTCGCGCGCACGTGTGTTTTATTTCCCCTCGGAGCGTGCACGCGCGTCGGGCACGGCTGTTTAAAACGCGGCGGCTGTGAAACCGAACCTCAGTCCGGACCACAGGAGGGAGGACAGAGCCATGCAGACAGGACCAGAACCTGGACCAGGACCAGAGCCAGAGCCGTGACCGTGTGGCACTGACGGACACGCGCAGCCGGAGCGGGTCAGACCGGACCGGACCGGACAATGACCGTGGTGTCAGAGGAGAACCTGGACGAGTCCGTGGCTCTGGCCGCGCAGGACGTGCTGGACCCGGACCAGAACCAGGAGGAGAACCAGGACTGCTGCGAGCGCGTGGTCATCAACATCTCGGGGCTGCGCTTCGAGACCCAGCTGAAGACCCTGGCCCAGTTCCCGGCCACCCTGCTGGGGGACCCCCGGAAACGGATGCGCTTCTTCGACCCGCTCAGGAACGAGTACTTCTTCGACCGGAACCGGCCCAGCTTCGACGCCATCCTGTACTTCTACCAGTCCGGGGGTCGGCTCCGGAGACCCGTCAACGTCCCGGTGGACATCTTCCTGGAGGAGGTCCGGTTCTACGAGCTGGGGGAGGACGTGGTGGAGAACTTCAAGGAGGACGAAGGTTTCATCAAGGAGGAGGAGAAACCTCTGCCCCAGAACCAGTTCCAGCGCCAGGTCTGGCTCCTGTTCGAGTACCCGGAGAGTTCTGGTCCRGCCCGGGGCATCGCCATCGTCTCGGTTCTGGTCATCCTCATCTCCATCGTCATCTTCTGCCTGGAGACCCTGCCTGAGTTCCGGGAGGAGGTCCGGGTGTTGGAGGAGCCACAGCGGGCGGGGAACGGGACCGGGGCTCGGGGGGTCCGACCCGACCCGTTCACGGACCCGTTCTTCATCGTGGAGACCCTGTGCATCATCTGGTTCTCCTTCGAGCTGCTGGTCCGGTTCCTGGCCTGCCCCAGCAAGGCGGCCTTCTTYAAGAACCTGCTGAACAGCATCGACATCGTGGCCATCATGCCCTACTTCATCACGCTGGGCCTGGAGCTGGCCCAGCACCAGGGCCCGGGTCAGCAGGCCACGAGCCTGGCCATCCTCAGGGTCATCCGCCTGGTCCGGGTCTTCAGGATCTTCAAGCTGTCCCGCCACTCCAAGGGTCTGCAGATCCTGGGTCAGACCCTGAAGGCCAGCATGAGGGAGCTGGGTCTGCTCATCTTCTTCCTCTTCATCGGAGTCATCCTCTTCTCCAGCGCGGTCTACTTCGCAGAGACCGACGACCCGGACTCCGAGTTCTCCAGCATCCCGGATGCTTTCTGGTGGGCCGTGGTGTCCATGACCACGGTG